AGCAACCTCCAACTCTTGGGCTCAAGTGATCGTCTTGCCTCAGCCTCCCAAGTAGCTAGGACTATAGGCTAAGGTGACCAGATGTCCCGCTTTTGGCGGGACAGTCCCAATTTTTAACAATTTGTCCTGAGTCCCGTGGCGTTTTAAATAAGTCCCAATTTTTGGAAAGAATGCACGACAAGCTAGGAACGGCGGGAGAACGGGAAGGGAATATACAGTTTTTGGCTGCCATGTGGCTATTTCGCCAGGATATGAGTTTTATATTACTTTTGTTAATTTTATAATGTTAAACTTTAATAATAACGAATAATTGTTGAGAACTGATTATCAAAAACAGCTTATCAAAGTTTGCATTGTTGATCAGTTGTTAGAATTTGACGAGAAATATGCCAAAGAATAAAATAATACTGTACATAATTTTTTAAATGTATTATATTTGTAAATTGTACTTATGTTGAAATTAAAAAATATATATTACAATACTATTTTTGTATTCTATGAAAGTTTTTGTTGCTCCATATAGACCAAATTTTTAATTAAGAGCACCACCCACCTCAATGGTGTCCCACTTTACCAAAGTTAAAATCTGGTCACCTTATTATAGGCACAACATGCGGTTTTTTTTTTTTTTTGAGACAGAGTCTCAAGCTGTCACCCCTTGGGTAGAGTGCTGTGGCACCACAGTTCACAGCAACCTCAAACTCTTGGGCTTAAGGGATTCTCTCACCTCAGCCTCCTAAGTAGCTGGGACTACAGGCACTTGCCACAACACCCAGTTATTTTTTGGTTGCATGATGAGCAGGCCCGGGCCAGATTTGAACCTGCCAACTTACGTGTATGTGGCCAGCACCCTGCCAACTGAGCTATGGACACTACCTACCCAGCTATTTTTAAGACATGGGGTCTCGCTCTTGCTCAGCTCTGCTCAAACTCTTGACCTCAGGCAATCCACCTGCCTCGCCCTCCCAAAGTGCTAGGATTACAAGCATGAGCCAGTGTGCCTGGTCAATATAGTGCTATGTTTTCCTTTTACAAGTCGTAAAAATATTAGGGTGAAAATTTTAAAAATACAGATTAAAATTGACATGTGTGCTTTCATTTGTATAAAGAATATGTACCAAAATGTTGCCTACGGTTATTACTTGATGTCTGACGAGCCTTAAGTGATTTTTTTCCCTCTACCTTAAGTAATAAGATGTTATTAATGTTTTCAAAAAAGAGAAAACAAACTTAAAGAAAATAAAATGTATGGCCGGTGCCTGTGGCTCAGTGAGTAGGGAGCCGGCCCCATATACCAAGGGTGGCAGGTTCGAACCTGGCCCTGGTCAAACTGCAACAAAAAATAGCCTGGCACTGTGGTGGGTGCCTGTAGTCCCAGCTACTTGGGAGGCTGAGGTAAGAGAATCCCCTAAGCCCAGGAGTTGGAGGTTGCTGTGAGCTGTGACGCCACAGCACTCTACCGAGGGTGATAAAATTAGACTCTGTCTCTAAAGAAAATTTAAATAAAATGTAAATTAAAAAAAAACTCCATGTTCCCACTATCCAGAAATAACCACTACTTAAGATTTTAATATCCTCCTTTCAAGTATTTTTCTATGTATATATTTTTCCTCATAAAAAAAGGACTACATAGCACATAAGGCTTTTCATATTTCACTAATTCCTTGTCAATAAATTTAACATTTTTAATGGTTACATGGCATTTCACTGTATGAATATATAATCATTTATTTAACCAGTCCTCCACGATTAAACTCAAAGTCTTTCAGGATTTAGATCATGTAATACAGGGTCCTGTAATAGGATGTTATTGCTAAATCACCTGAAGAGATTCGTCTGGCTGACCTTCCTTTTTCTCTAAAGTAAATTAACAGCAAAAAAATGAAGCTTGGGGGTAAAGATGGCAAGTACAAATATGTACACGTGTTCAAAAAAGATGCCCATGCACTCCTAAGACAGACTGGCCCAGTAAAGACAACCACTATGCATCCTCATGCCATTTTCATCCGTGGAAATACTGTACGAGCCCGGTATAGCTCCCTGACTGATAAAACAGGCAAAGGCCCGTACCTGGTGACTTGGGTTGTCGCTCTCCTTCTAATGAAAGATGCTCCGGTGTCTTGATGACGGACTTAACCCCAGGATTTTGATTGATCATGTAAAATGGACAAAGCACACCATCTGTTGAAAGTAACATGAGAACTGGAGCAGGAGGAAGAGTCTTTTCATCACCTGTTTAAAAAGAAAAGAAAGATGATAAAAGAACCAAATCAAGCTAAGGGCCGGAGCAGAAGGGAAAGACTGCTAAACAAGAAGGCTTAAGGGGCTCATCTCAATAGCAGTTCAAGGCAGTTTGTTCCGATGCAGACTTGAATAGCCTTTCATGCATCAACATTTTATTTTTTTTGAGACAGTCTCACTTTGTCGCCCTTGGTAGAGTGTCACAGCATCATAGCTCACAGCAACCTCAAATTCCTGGGCTTACGTGATTCACTTGCCTCAGCCTCCCAAGTAGCTGGGACTACAGGTGCCCGCCACAATGCCCAGCCTTTTTTTTTAGAGAGGAGGTCTTGCTCTGGCTCAGACTGGTCTCAAACTCCTGCATTGCTCAGGCAATCCACCTAGGTCTCCCAGAGTGCTAGGATCATAGGCGTGAGACACTGCGTCCAGCTTCATGCATCAACTTTTTAAAGAGAGCCATCGCTACTACAGGACCATGCCTTCTTGCTGGGGCCTACCAGGGAAAGCGCCATTAGGCCCAAAGAAGCTCTGTTTCGCCCAAAGGTCCCTCAGGTTTTATGAGTGTTCCAGTACTCAGGAGGTAGGTTTGGCATTCCCCTGACCAAGACAGAAGTCTTGCCAGGCATAGTGCTCATGCCTATAATCCTAGCACTCTGGGAGGCCGAGAAGGGTGGATTACTTGAGTTCACGAGTTCAAGATCAGCCTCAGCAAGAGCAAGACCCCGTCTCTATTAAAAATGGAAAAACTGAGGCAAAAGGATGACTTGAGCCCAAGAGCTGAAGGTTGCTGTGAGCTATGACACCACAGCACTCTACCCAGATGACAGCATGAGCCTTTGTCTCAAAAAAAAAAAAAAGAGTAGTCTCTAAGAAGTGCTCAGGGTGGTAGAAAATGATAGACTAGACTCTCAGAAAACACACAGTAGGACACAGAACACGTCAAACTACTTTATACTGACTCACAGTTGAATCCTAAGTATGTCCTGCCAATTAAGACAATAAGAGAATCTTAGGGGGAAAGATCTATTCAGAGCACATACCCAGGCCCAATTTGGAAGCCATGGGCCTGTTGTCTCCATTTCCTAATCCTTTCCTTCAAACTGAGTGTTGGTACACATTACATCAGGGTAGTGCTCCTGTGGGAGCTACTAGGGAGATCACATGGACACAGAAACCAAGCCACGAAATCCCTACACGCTCTACATTTCAACCAGGTTCCAAAGTACCAGACACGTACATGCGTATACACAGTGTGTCTGGCTTTGGGGTCATCAATGAACAGCCATTTGAATCAGTTTAATGATGTCACAATGCACCCTATAGCACTCTTCAGGTAGAAATGTGCTGCCAGAAGTTAAAAGTTCTTAGCAGAGGACTCTGTCATGAACGCTTATAATAACTGTCTTTTCAATATCAAACATTACTAGAGACTATCTCTGTGCTAAGCCCCAGGATACACTCACTGATGGCAATTTCCACTTGATTAGTATAATCTATGGCAACTCCCATGGGCAAAGAGTCATCATTCTTGTCTGTCACAGGCAGTTCAGCTCGACTAGAATCCTCTAGTAGCCAAGATTCCCAATTAATCTGGGGAAAAAAAGAGACAGGAAATGTTAGAGCTTTGCATTGATTTTCTTGGCATTATTCAAACAGGAGAGAAGGACAGAGATGCCTCCTTTGGCGTGCTGACTAGGAGGCTGTGAAATCTGGGAGGATGATCTGAAAGCTTTAGCAACCAAAAGATTAATCTTCCAAATCAGCCTACCTGTTCCTGGTATACTGAGCCCCTAACTTGTGAATAATCACTACGATGAACACTTTCTGAAGTATTTTCCCCTACAACTAGTAGACTGCTGGCCATGAGAGGCAAGTCCAATAGTTGCACTAAGCCAGAGAATGCTGCTCCGAGACATGTAAGGTTGGGACCAAGAACTCCGGCTAATTTTATTTGCAGGGAAGCCTATAACACTTGCCTGCGCTCTGAGGCCCTATGCTCATTTGTCTGCAGAAGCGGAAGAGACAGAAAGCTACCTGAGTTCTTGTTTTCCCAGTCCTTGTTATTAGCTCCTCAGACTGGTTACTCTTCCTTCCCCTAAATTCCCTCAGAATCCCCCACCCCGAGTCTTTCTAGTAAACTCCTCTTCCACTTAAGTTTGCTTGGATGGGCTATTCCTTCCAGCAAATGACTCCTGATTTTTAAAGTCACTGACATTTTGTTTAGCTTTCAGTGCTGACCAAAACCAGGCAGCAGAATCACATGGAAATAGTGCTAGGCAATGAGTTACAAAGTGAAAAACAAAAAGCTGTTCAGGAAAAAAGACTGATTATACCGCAGGACTTAGCTGTGGAATAAACAGACATACTAATCCTAACAAAATCAATTTCAACTTTTAAAAACAATCTATAGGCCAGGTACAGTGGCTCACACCTATAATCCTAATGCTTTGAGAGGCCAAGGTAGGAGGACTCTTGAGCCCTTCAGTTTGAGGTTGTATTGAACTATGATGCACCATTGCACTCTAGCCCAGGCAATAAACCTCTGTCTCAAAATGAAATAATAATAAAAATAAAACTATCAATAGCTAGTGATGAAGCAGATTCTTTAGAGATAGTGTTAGCCATCACAAGGAAAATTTACAAGTTAAAAATGCCCCTCTAGAGTAGGTCTAGAGCAGGAGAGGGTTGGACAGGGGTGATTTTTTTCATTTATAAGCCTTTCTCCACTACTTAATTTTTTAAAGCATGTATGTAAATTTTAATACAAAGTAAAAATAAAAGTATATTTTTATTGTGTAAACAAAATACTTGTGCTAATGAGAAACTGTTACTGAAGTCAATTCGAGATAGTTCTAGAACAGCAAATCTGACTGCTAAACTCTGGCCTCTGATTCAAAAGCAGCCCACCCAGACACTGTGAGATCCACACTCCTCACTGTGGACCACTTTACCACCCAGGGAGTGACAGAGTGGTTGAAGCGGCACAAAATATCTGTGTATGGAATGAGGAAATACTTGTTTTATACTTGGAAGAGTACACCAAACATTTTTAAACTCAAGGCAGAATTGAAAAAAAAAAAAGTTTCCCTTTCACTGTGCCTCTTCTAAAGTCAGCCACAAGTGGATGACACTCCACCACTACCTTGGTCTACCTTGTTCCCGCCAAGAGGACACTCCTACACACAGGTGCTTTTCTCTTTCTGGAGGCTTTTCAAAGTCAAACAAAAAGTATTTCTCATGAATCACAATTTGGTATGATCTGCCTGTTTTTCTTCCATAATTTAGGATGGGCTCTAGCTAATTGTGCAGTGTGGGCAGGTTCATGTGATAGGAAGACAATGATGGTAAAACAGAACAGGGCAGAAAAAGCCTCCTACACACCTAGGTTATACTGCGTTTGGAGGCTAATCACATAGCATGTTTCCACAGACCGTGGATGGATCCTAAAATAAGAGAAGGGCTTTTTATGACACTGAAGAACCACTAAACCTGACGCCCGTGTTTCTCATGTAACAGTCAAGCCATTTGGTCCAAAGCAGCCTGTCATTTAAACTTTGCTCTTACCCAGAAACTCATTAAAAGGGATGTGAGCTCATCTAAATCTTAACCACTGGCCAGGTGTGGTGGTTCACACCTCCTAGCACTTCTGAGGCCGAGGCAGGTGGATTGCCTAAGCTCACAGGTTCAAGACCAGCCTGAGCCAGAGTGAGACCTCCTCTCTAAAAATAGCTGGGTATTATGGCAGGCACCTGTAGTCCCAATTACTTGGGAGGCTGAGGCAAGAGAATCGCTTGAGCCCAACAGTTTGAGGTTGCTGTGAGCTATGATACTACAGCACTCTACTGAGAGCGACAAAGTGAGACTCTGTCTCAAAAATAAATAAATAAACAAAAATAAATTTTAACCATATAGTTAATTCCTCCAAAATCTTACTTAGGAAAGAATCACACAAAAGTGACAAAAAAGAGAAATACCTGATCACTTTGTCGAGCAAGGATACTAACTTCTGTTGACGCTGCAGATGCTGCCAGTACCAAATCCCTTAAAGAATAAAACCAGAGACCATGACATTCAAACACAGCAACAGTCCTAACCTGATTTGGGTCTGTGAGGATTTTCCCCACATGTGAAGGACAGAATAAGGGTTTCTATCTGGTTGAAGATAGAAAGATTCCAGGTATAAAGCTCAACTTCTTAATTCTGCGGATAAAGCAGCGCAGAATCAGCACACTGCCCACCCACGTGCTGACAATGGAAAGACACAATCAAGCAGTTCCCAACACACACATACTCAAAAGCAGAATAATCATGCTAGAGGGACAGAAGCTTTACTTCAAGTAATCTATCTTTCAAAGAGAAATTCTGTTCCCAGAAGGAAACTTTTAATATATTCCTTAAATATCAATATTTTCAAAAGTCAACACTGGGGATTATTAAGAAAATTGGAATTTTTTAGAATTGGTATGTTTTCGACCTAAACAATTCAAGAGTGGGAAAACAGAAGTAATCAAAGACACTGTCAAGCATCAGCTGAAAATATGTTCAGAGCATCGCAGTCACTCTTTTCATCAGTTACAGAAAAGATGTCAAAGTGGAACAAAGTGACGAGAGTTCCACCTGAGAGTGAGAGAGGCACACCCTGCCCAAACTCTCTGCTCACCATTCCTCCACGTAACTGAGGAAGTAATGATGCTGTCTCTCTGCACAGCTGCCATAGCAGGGCTCCATGAAGTTCACAAATATCTCTGGGTGCTTCTCCTCCTTTTTCTACAATGAACAGAGCAAGAAAAAAAAACACATGTGCAATTTACCTCTAATCCTACATAGTCAATAATCTTGAAAGATAAACCATTTACATTTTATGAGAAAACACAGTGAAAAATCTAAGTCCAAACACATGGACACGGTGTAACGGCAGCACAGAATAGTGCCAAGAGTACAAATGTACTGTCTTGCATGAGAATTGCCCTGTCACTACTAACCAATCTCAACTCTTGATCAGAAACCTCACCATTTTGCCCAACTACTTGCAGGAGACATCCTCTGTAAAGTATGGGCCAGGTTTCATGAAGCTGCAGTGGAAAATACCAGCACTGGACCACCAAACAGGCACCAGCAACTTTTCTCAATGAATATCCAGTTTTGGACTCTGTTTTGGCACTTCATCTTCATCTAAGTATTGTGTTGGATGCTCGTGATTGCAAAAAGAATCCATTTTTCATCACACATAACAATACAGTGTAGAGGGCGGCACCTATGGCTCAGTGAGTAGGGCATGGGCCCCGTATACTGAGGATGGCGGGTTCGAACCTGGCCCTGGCCAAACTACAACAACAAAAAAAATAGCCAGGTGTTGTGGCGGATGCCTGTAGTCCCAGCTACTCTGGAGGCTGGGCAAAAGAACTGCCTAAGGGCAAGAGCTGCAGGTGGCTATGAGCTATGACACCAAGGCACTCTATGCAGGGTGACAAAGTGAGACATTGTCTCAAAAAGAAACAAAAACCCCCAGCAGTATCAAAGTGAGATGTCAGAGATGCCAACTGTCAAACTTAGTACTTAAGAGAATTAGACATTCCATACTTAATACCTAATATTTATTGACACAGAAAATGTTCACTATTTAGTCCTAAGTAAAACAAGATTATGAAACAGAATAACAAGTACAACTCTCACCTGTGTTTTATTTAGACATTTATTTATATATTTAAGGGACCTGAAATTTTCTATACTAAAATATCAACAGTTATTTCCAAGAGTTAGGATTAAAAGTGATTTTTAAGGCTTGGTACCTGTAGCTCAAATGGCTATTTGAACATACACCAGAGCTGGCAGGTTCAAGTCCAATCTGGGCTGCCAAAACAAGACAAGTACAACCAAAAAGTAGGGGGTGCTGTTGTGGGCATCTGCAGTCCCAGCTTCTTGGGAAGCTGAAGCAAGAGAATAGCTTAAGCCCAGGAGTAGGAGGTTGCTGTGAGCTGTGATGCCACAGTACTCTACACAAGGCGACAGCTTAAGGCTTTGTCTCAAAAAATTAAAAAAACAAAAAGTGATCTTTAAAATATGGCTTGTTGGGGGGTCTTTTTACTAAATATTATTAAATGTTTTTTCTGGATTTTGAAAAACAGTTCTGTTTGGCCAGGCATGGTGGCTCTCACCTGTAATCCTAGCACCCTGGGAGGCTGAGGCAGGTAGAGTGCTTGAGCTCACAAGTTCAAGACCAGCCTTAGCAAGAGCAAGACCCTGACTTAAAATAGCTGAGCATTGTGGTGGGCACCTGTAGTCCCAGCTAACCAGGAGGCTGACGCATGAGGATCTCTTGAGCTTAAGAGTTTGAGATTGCTATGAGCTATGACACCACAGCACTCCACTGATGGCAACAAAGGGAGATTCTGTCTCAAAATAAAAATTCTGCCTCAATTGCCTTTTTTTTTTTTTTTTTTTTTGAGACAGAGCCTCAAACTGTTGCCCTGGGTAGTCCCGTGGCATTACAGCTCACAGCAACCTCCAACTCCTGGGCTCAAGCGAGTCTCCTGCTTCTGCCTCCCAAGTAGCTGGGACTACAGGTACCTGCCACAACACCCAGCTATTTTTTGGTTTAGCCTCATTGTTGTTTGGCGGGCCCGGGCTGGATTCGAATCTGCCAGCTCAGGTCTATGTGGCTGGCGCCTTACCCACTTGAGCCACAGGTGTGGAGCCTCTCAATTGCTTCTTAAAATGCCACTGCGGATTAGCAACTCTTTGACGATCTTATTAGTAACGTTCTTCCCTATCTTCACAATGACTCACTTTCTCAACACCATTTGCTTCTGTGCTCAGGTGGCTTCTCTTCAGAGAGGCCTCCCTTGACAACCCAGTCTCAAGTGGCATCCCAGTAACCATCCATCCCTAATTCTGCTTTATTTTCCCTACCACCCCCATCAATCCTTGACCCCAAACTTGTATTGACTAGCACACTGACTGGAATGTAAAATCACAAAGGCAAAGGCTTTGCCTTACTCATTGCTACATTCTCAGCTATAATTCAGGACCCAGGGCTCAGTGCCTGTGGCTCAAGTGGCTAAGGTGCCAGTCACATACACCTGAGCTGGCAGGTTCGAATCCAGCCCGGGCCCGCCAAACAACGACAGCTGCAACCAAAAAATAGCTGGGTGTTGTGGCAGGTACCTGTAGTCCCAGCTACTTGGGAGGCAGAGGCACGAGAATCGCTTGAGCCCAGGAGTTGGAAGTTGCTGTGAGCTGTGATGCTACAGCACTCTACCCAGGGCGACAGCTTGAGGCTCTGTCTAAAAACAACAACAAAAACAAAAACAGGACCTAGCACACTGACAGCATTTGATAAATATATGATAAATAAATAAAAGAATTTTAAAAATCAAGTGTTTTACTTCTCTAAAATGTCCTTAGCAGGTTAACCAAGACTCATAGTTTACGTACAGCTTAAGCAAAAGCAAATTTTGCCATTTTTTTAACCTCATAACTAAATAGGAGAACATGTTCTAAGTAGATACAACCATTTTGGTCCCTAGGCCCAGAGTATAGCATGAAATCTTATACCTGAAGTTGCATGATCACTGTCAGAGAAACCTGAAACCAAATCCTCCAGCTTTTTTTTTTAGAAGACTTCTAAATTTCAAAGAACCTAACATTCCCTTTCATATGCCTACCGGTAGTAGAGCCATCACGACATCTGGAGATGTTTCCAGAGTCCCATCTGCAGCAGCATATACGATTGTAAAGACATATGTACCAATCCACAGCACGTCCAGAACTGAAAGACACACACTCCAATCAGTAGGTAATAAAAATCACAGCAGCCAGATAAAGGAAAAAGCATCTTATGTTTGGAATATACATTGCATGCAATAACATAAAAAAACAAAGTACTATGGCTTAATAAAGGTCCAGATTTCACTGACTAAGTTCATAAAAGACTCAAGAAGCCAAAATTTATCCCAAAGTGGTAGTTTTTCTGTTGCATTATACTCAGGGCAAATTATGCAGAATTCTAATTGAAAGTCGTGATCTATTTCATGTTATTTACCATGAAACATGGGAGTCTCCCAAGAGGTTCTCATTTTATACTCATTTAATTAGCTGGCTGAAATAGTGGCATTATTCATGAAGCAGGCACCAACACCTTCATGAGCAGGTATCACATGATTTAGGATTTCTGTAATACAGATGCACCTCATTTGAGATCAGCCAAACAAGAAAAGTGGTATTACCTCTGACAGGATGATCTGACTCATAAAATGGAGGGCAAGGAATAACTTTTTTTTCCTGTAAAGTCTGAAAGAGATTTAGGGAAAAAAGTGTCAAATGATACAATCGTCAAAACAAGGAAACATTGAAACCCAGTATGTTCCCCTGGATGCCACCTGTTCCATCTCCTTAGCCAGGAGAGACCAAACAAAGAGAACAATGTTGTCTATTCCAGGACCTCATCCTACAGAAACACAATCATGTGTTCAGATGCAGGCAATGAGGATGCTCAGTGCAGCATCACTCACAGAAGCAAAACCCCTAGAGCTGATGAAGAGGACTATCAATAAGGAAATAGATAAAGTGTGGCATATCAACAGGGCACTACTATGCAGTCATGTAGGAAAATGAATGCAGTGAATCGGAAAAAAAGATACCAATATACCAAGTTTAAAAAAAGATGTCCATTCTCCACTCCCACTGCTTTACTTCACTAGCCTACAAAAACAAAAAACTAAAAAAGGCAGGCTCAGCACCTGTAGCTCAGTGGCTAGGGAACCAGACACATACACCTGAGCTGGCAGGTTCATGTCAAGCCTGGGACTGCCAAACAATAATAACAACCACAACCAAAAAATACCAAGGCGTTGTGGTGGGCAGCTATAGTCCCAGCTACTTGAGAGGCCGAGGCAAGAAAATCACTTAAGTCCCAGAGTTGGAGGTTGCTGTGAGCTGTGAAGCTACGGCACTCTACCCAGGGCGACAGCTTGAAACTCTGTCTCAAAAACAAAACAAAACAAAAGGCAAACAAGAAAGCAGGGAAACTAAACAAAATGCTTTATCTGTTTACAGGCTAATGCCCTAAAAGAGAATAAGAATATGTACCAAATTTCACATAACAACTTTAGGCAATACTAAATAAGAAATAAAACTTTGGGGCAGTGCCTGTGGCTCAGTGAGTAGGGCACCGGCCCCATATACTGAGGGTGGCAGGTTCAAACCTGGCCCCGGCCAAACTACAACACAAAATAGATGGGCGTTGTGGCAGGCACCTATAGTTCCAGCTACTCAGGAGGCTGAGGGAAGAAAATCGCCTAAGCCCCAGAGTTGGAGGTAGCTGTGAGCTGTGACACCATAGCACTCTACTGAGGCAATGTAATGAGATTTAAAAAAAAAGAATATTTGTGAATATCATCTCAAGAAAATCACTGGGAAGCCAGGTGCAGTGGCTCACGCCTGCAGTCCCAGCACCTGGGAGTCCAAGGTGGGTGGACTGTCTGAGTTCACAGATTGTCTGAGACCAGCCTGAGCCAGAGAGAGACCTCATCTCTAAAAATAGCTGGGTATTGTGGCAGGTGCCTGTCATCACACTTCCTCGGGAGGCTGAGGCAAGAGAATCGCTTAAAGCCCAAGAATTTGAGATTGCTGTGAGCTGTGACGCCACAGAACTCTACCAAGGTCTACAAAGCAAGACTCTTGTCTGAAAAAAAAAAAAAAATCACAGGGAGGGTGACAGTGCACATGTAACAGCAGGATCATCCATTTTCTTTCTTGCTCTTTTTTTTTTTTTT